TGAGCACCAGTCTCTGCTGAGCCGTGTGTTCAGAGCTCTCATGTATGTTTAATCTTCCTGATAACCTTGTGAGGTAGACTTTTCACTTTAGTGATAAGGAAGCAGAGTTCCAAGGGGCTGATTGGCCAAGGCCACAATAAGTAATAATGCCCAGATTTAAACTCCGATTTCCAGACTTCAAGTGCGGATGTTCTTTGCACAGAGCAAAGCTTCTTCATCAAGCTGAGATCTGAAATGTTGTCTCAGTAACATTATTAACAGTCAACTTAGTACCAGTCTGATTTAATCAAGTTCAACACTCTATCTCTCTGACGTAGTTGGTTGTTCATACAACTTATTTGAAAGGATTCTTAACTTCCCAACATTTGATGCAGAGTGGAAGCTTATGAGCACATTTCCTCCACTTAAGATGTCTGAACTTCCGGGGTGCCTGGGTGGCTCAGTGGGTTAAAGCCTCTGCCTTCGGCTCAGGTCATGATCCCAGGTTTCTGGGATCGAGCCCCGCATCGGGCTCTCTGCTCAGCGGGGAGCCTGCTTCCTCCTCTCTCTCTGCCTGCCTCTCCGCCTACTTGTGATCTCTGTCAAATAAATAAATAAAATCTTAAAAAAAAAAAAAAAAAAAAAAAAAGATGTCTGAACTTCCCTGTGAACCAGTGCAGCAATTGTGGAAAACCTAGACAGTCCAGCTTGTAGCTGAATTGTGCTTTCTTTCTGAAGTCCAGACCTCTTCATCCACCTGAGGTGCCTTATACCTCTTTCCCGTCTGCTTTGTTCTTATCTCCAAAGGGAAGAAAATGTGGTTTCTAGATTCATAGTTTAGAATCTGGAAACATGAATGTGTTGATATTTCCTTGGAGACTTCTCATTCCTGCTGTACCCCATTTGGTTCTCATACTGTCTCAGACTTAGACACTGCCTGTGGCTGGCTTTGAAATGTAATTAAATGATAGGAACAGGATCCCAGTGTAGGGTAGGATATAAGCGTCATCCTGATTTTCTCTCTAGTGAGCTAAGGTCCCTTTCAGTTCTCTGTGAAGATTCAGAAGCAAATCCAAGGAACCATAATTGGGGTTTAGATTCAATTTCAGAGGTATAGTCCCCACAACCCAGAGGAATTTATAGATTTCTAGATGCTACACACAACTGCAGTGTTCTTGTTTCCCTCTCCAGCTGTGGCGCAGTAAAGCTCATCACAAGGGCCAGTATGTAGGTTAGAGTCATAGTAGTGTTGCTGTTACCTTTCATGAGAAGACTGGAGTTGTCTCAAGAACACAGAGCGTCTCATCCAGAGTATAAAATGCCACTGGATATGGCTACCAGACCTGCTCATTCCCACCCCTGTGGTGACCAGAAAACTGTCCGGATAAGAAGGAAAAAATAAAAAGTGGTCTGAAAACTCCTGGCCTCCACATGGACTCTGGCTATGCCTGCTGTCACTTCCATCTGTCTGAATCCCAGCCTCCACCCATATGCCCTGCTCCTGGGACAGCTATGCTGTCCCTCCTTCTACAGAGGATGGTTTAGAATGAGGATTCACTATCAGAGGCTTGGTAGGCAGTTTGACTATATTTTCTGAATAAGACATGTCCTTGATCAAAGGCTCACATTTCATGAGGAGGGTTGAGATCACAAGGCTTAGATAAATCCATGAAGGTTTTAGTTGATTTTTGCCAGATCCTTACTGCCTTTCTTCTGTTTTTCTCGCCTCCTCCCAGATGGTCAAAGTGGGTAGCCCTACTCATGGCTTAGCTTCACCCACATCAGCAGAAGGGAATCCTTATGGGTATCTACTGTATTAAGTGGTGATATTCACATTAAAGAATCCTTTAAAACCTAGTCTCTAAAACTAGTTGTACATTTTGACATCTAAAGGTGAATTTTTATGTTCCATATACAAAAGTGTCCCAGATTAGAAATTTTTAGGACTTAAGGAAGGCTTGTTCTGTGTTTCTGTAAGTCACCTATGTTGTAGATGAATTAAATTAGTCTCTCTCTCTCTCTCTCTCTCTCTCTCTTTTTAAGGCTGTTTTTACCAAGCATGGCTACTTTTCTCAATAATTAGAAACTCTGTTTAGTACTTAAATAACACCACTCTGGTGTTAGAGCCCAGCTTGAGGTTAGCCTGCAGAAAGTCTGCTTTTAGTGAAGATTTGCTGATTGAGTAAAGGAACAAATATAAACAGCAGTTGTTTGACTGTTATTTACTTTTCTTCAAGGGTGATCATAGTGTTAGACCTTCTGTAGTTAAAACATGGATTAGGGTAGAAAGGGAGATGGGAAATTTTCATACTCTTTCCCAAAACAACTCTCCAGTCTCCTCAGTTTCTTCTAGCTTCCCAACAAATTGCTCTTCACACGAGTGAGATTTTATTAGCTCAAATGTCTGCAGACTTTTTGGTGGCCAAGAAAATGACGGTATATAAGGTTATAAGTGGAAATGATTTATTTATAATTAGCTTAAGTGAGTGAGGGTTTGCTTCCTATCGAAAGTACTTAACTGCCAGCAACATCAATCATGACCTCATCCTTGGAATGTGAAGATGATTTTCTAACAGCTAGATTCATGAAGTAATAGAATGTATGTTCTCTGGAGGGCACCTTCTCTGACAGCCCAGGATCCCTAAAATTCCTCTGGAGACCCCCATGCTGTAGAAGAACCTGTGGTTATAGTAACTCTCCTTAGCTAGAGCTTCAAGCTTACAGGTGGTAAACGTTCTTTCTAAATCAGATGCATTCCTGAGTCCTTTCTAAGGGTGGAAGACAAGTGCCAGTTAGCCCCTTGCCAGCATTCTTCTCCTGGCTCTTCACCAGGCTGATGGAGTGTTTACTCTCTTATGCCATTCCATGAGAAGCTTGGTCTTTGGAAAATTGGGGTTTAATTTCCAGTTCCTGAGGTTGCTTATTTTAATAAGTCCATTGACCAATAACGGAAATTCATTAATGACTGAATTTAATTATTTCTACTTTCAATGTCTTGATCTCTGTTACTGGAATACTATTAGCCATGTGAGGAAGTCCTCAAGCCATCAGAGGTTGTTGGGCTAAAGTATGAGGACCCACTGAACTCTGATACCAGGGTATGTTCATGATTCTTATTGCATAATTTGAATGAATGTGATTCCTGGATCCTGCCCTAAGTATGCAATCAGAGTCCACTTGGGCTGTAATGAGCAATGCTCTTTGGTTGATATGATTTGGAAATTCTGATCATAATGGGATAATTAGGATGGCTTTCTGCTGTTCTGTCTTCAGTAGTACCTATTCTAGGGCCTAGTTATTGCTAACTTATTATTTTCTGAAAATTCCAGAACCTGTTTGTTGCAGATCAATCTTCTTAAAAACAGACACTTAGAAAATAATCACCAATATTAGGCAGTCTGGTATGGAGAGAAATTTTGAAGAAGTTAAGTGGAAAGACATCCTTTCTGTTAGCAACAAAGCTTTTCTTACCAGCTCAGCAGCTTCATACTACAGAAACCAGTAATGCTTGGCTTTCCTTCTGGTCATAGAAATCTGGTGGGTGGGGGTGGTGCCTGGGTGACACAGTGGGTTAAAGGCTCTGCCTTCGGCTCAGGTCATGATCTCAGGATCCTGGGATCAAGCCCTACATCGGGCTCTCTGCTCAGCAGGGAGCCTGCTTCCTCTTCTCTCTCTCTCTCTCTCTCTGCCTGCCTCTCTGTCTACTTGTGATCTCTGTCAAGTAAATGAATAAAATCTTAAAAAAAAAAAAGAAAGAAAAGAAATCTGGTGGGGTTCTTTTACCATTCAGCCCTTCAACTCTGCATCTGCTACAAAGTTCCTCCCCTACCTCACCAGCTTGGGCTGCTTTCCTTCTCCCCAAATACTGATTCCCATGGAGGTCTGTTGTGTGATGTGATGGTCTTTGCACACTGGCTACAACCCAGGTCATCATCCACCTACCCTGTCTTCTCCTTTCTAAATACCACATGTAGGTGTTTGAGGGATGTGGGTTCTTAGATCATTCCCCAGGGCTAAGGCTAAGTCTTCTGGACTTAAGTCATATGAGTAGCCTGAAAGAAATGGTCATACGTGGGAGGAAGTGACATCCAGTATCAAGTAAACAATTACCTTCAGGCAGTTTGGATCCAGGTAAGTAATTGCTACCTGTCTCTCCTTGACACCATTGGTGAGGATAATTCTAGGATATCAGACCTTTGGAATGGTCCAATTTCCAAATGCCTTCCGTATAGGTGTTTTGTAAATATACCAATATAAAGGTTTATTTAGAAAAAATGTGGCAAGGAGTTTAGACCAGACCTCTGGATTTTTAGCAGAGTACAGGATGGGTGTCTTTTTACTGCCTTCATACTTCCTGGTACATTGTTTTAAGTGCTCAATAAATGTTCATTGCTACTATTATCATTACTATTATCATTATTATTATTATTATTATTATTATTTAGAATTCAGTGTGAGAGGCTAGTGTGGAGATTTCTCAGTTGGAATAGAATATACTAAAAAATAAGTATTTTTTTTTCATTGTAGAGATTTATCTTAAGGTTATAAATATATTGCCTCCAGTTAAAGTGAGCAATTAATTCTTTCTATAGCTTAATCTTAATATAACAGTATGACTTTAATAATTGCTTTCAGTCTTAGAGGTCAGTAAATAGGGTTGTTTATAATTGTTAGTGCATTGTTTGAAATGCTTTGCCTACCCAGGGCCCACTCCAGTGAACTAAACAGAAATTAGAACAGGAGGATTGCCGATAGATCATTCCTTTTATACTGTTGCTGAAGTTCTGATTATGTAAATTTGTGTGTGTATTATGTAAATTCTTAATTTTTTTTTCATTTTATTTTTAAATATGAGGCGCTCCCTTCCTTGAGTTGTAAGATGGATGCAGACACCCCTCATGATACCTAACATGGGTTTTCCTTTTCTTAATTATACTGCATGATCTTTAAATAGTTCTTCCTTCTCCTGGGCAAAAGTACCTTCTAAACATTTATACCAAATTGTGTTTATTTTCTTGCAGTTGAACTGGCAATGATCATGGACCGTCTGTATGGTGGTGTCTGCTATGCCGGCATCGACACGGACCCGGAGCTGAAGTACCCCAAAGGTGCTGGCCGTGTGGCGTTCTCCAATCAGCAGAGCTACATCGCAGCCATCAGCGCGCGCTTTGTGCAGCTCCAACACAATGACATTGACAAACGGGTAAGCGACCGCTCGGGGCATAATTGCTGTGGGAAGAGAAACGAAGTTTATTTTCTGGGCCCCTGGGGAGAAAAGCACCTCGTGATCATAAGTGAGCAGCTTACCTTACATGGTATCAGTCCATGAGTCCCTTTAGGCTGCCTGAAAAAGAGAGTACCCACGATTTGCCAGGCGTTAACGAACCTTCTGCCTCACCCATCCCCAGGGTGATGTTACACTTATGAAAATAACCGTGCAGAATTTAGTGTACCCAACTGGTGCTGTTTAAAGGGTGATGCCAACAGTGCATTAACAAAGGTTGCCAGCTGGTGACCTGTTTGACCCATGTGGTGCTCTTAAAACAAGTTCGCTTTGGACTCACACGAAATGTTAATATTCAGGGAGTATACATAAAACTTTGAAATTCTGATTTCTCTTAAAATTGCAAGATCACACATTGGAGCCAGATAACTGCTGTCTCTTTCAGTCCCCTCCAATTCCCTATAGTCCTCCAGGTCCCTGTAATCCTGTTCATAACATATACGCATATGCCTTACCTGCCCTCCTCCTCCGTGGTCTTACCTGCCGGGCCACTAGAGGTATCCTGATTTGCTCCCTCTGATCTAAAGAGGGGACACATGGCAGAATGTAGGGAGCTGGTGTGCTCAGTTGGTTTTGTGAACAGACATAGGTCTAAATACCTGAAACCCCACCTCTGCCACTCTTTGGAAGTTTGGGGAAATAGAAGGTGGTAGGAGGAAATAATCTGAGATCTATGTTACTGGACTAATAGAACAAGTAGGAGAACAGATCAGGTATTGAACACCTCCCTTTGCAATTGTACAGTGGCTGTTAACACTTCCAGCAAAGGATGTTCTTGGGGCATATGTTGGACTAGAATAAATAAAGTAGGAAATATGTTATTGTGTTTTTTTTTTTTTTTTTTAAGATTTATTTAAGAGAGAGAGTGAGGGAGAGAGAGTCTTAAGCAGGCTCTGCGCTGAGCGCAAAGCCTGACACAGAGCTCGGTCTTGGGACCCTGAGATCACAATCTGAGCCAAAACCAAGAGTGGGATGCTTAACCGGCCAGGCACCCCAAATATGTTCTATTACGATGTTTAATCTCTACTCTCTATGGTCGACTTTAACTAATTTTGGGTAGCTGACTCAAGCTTCTTAGAAGGTGAAAGTTTCAGTTGGTAGATTTTTAGATATTCAGCAAGTTATATTTTTATTAAGACATATATCTGATCAAATTTCAAAAGCCAGTGCCTAAAATAAACAGTTGCTACATTACTGGGCTCTTTAAAAATAAGTAGTGGTGGTTTGTTTGTTTTTAAATCAAAATGAACAATTCTTTTTCAGAATTTTGAAACACTCTTTGAATTAATGGAGAGGTGTGATAAAGATTCAGCTCCGTTCCTAGTTTTCAAGCACGCACAGCGTCCTGACCTTCCCCTTTCGTAGCAGTAAACCGCCCCCCCCCCCCACAGATTGTACACTCCGCAGAGACAGGTGCTGGTGGACTTTCTTGTGCTTGCACTTTTGTGAGTCTAAGACACCAGATTTTTAGACACCAAACATTTAGATGGCTATGGCACTCACCACTGGTCATGGTGAGTCATAACCTTAACCTGTAGAGCCTTGGATTCTCTTCTGTGTGCCTTCTTTGTTCCTCTCTGCAGCCAGAACTAGTGACTGGATGGGGTCGTACTAGGGACTATAGAGAAAGCTCCATTTCCCCATGCTTCTGTCTTCCCTTTGCCCACAGGCTAACAACCTCCTGGCTTATTCCTTAATGGAGGGAAGTACACTTGCCCCAGGGAATATGGAAATCTTTCAGCACCTTTTAAAATCACAGTAAATTCAGATGCTATTTGTTTTGTTGCCCACCCCTGCTCCTTCCCCTGCTATACTCAGGCCCTTAGTATTTCTTCCCACAAGACTTGGACCTAGGTAAAATAGAGAGACGTAGTGAGCACGATCATAGGCCATGCTTACGAAAATGTATTTGGAACATCAGACTTCTGAGGACTCAAGAAAGCCATTGACTATTTCTGCCTACTGCATTTGGGTTAACTGTACCTTCCCTCTTGTAGAATAGCCCTTGATAAACATTCAGAGTAGCAGCCAGTTGTAGTAGAAAAAGTATGGAGTTTCGAGCTGGAATAGATTTCAGTACTTTTAAATCTCTACTGCACCAGTCACTGGTGACCCCAAGTAAGTTAATTAATGCCAGGAGCCTCAGATCCTCATCAGTAACTCTCTCTGGGGGATGGTCTGAAGAATAAATGAGATTTGAGCATTGAACAGCCAGAGCTGTATGACCTTTGGATAGATGTTTAGTACCTAGCACTTGATGGTTAACAGTATTCATTTTGCTACAAACGCAATTAATACTGATGTTATTAATATTATGTAGCTTGAATTTTATCAATTGCTCGCTGAAGATGTAGTGAACAGACAACCTGGTTAGTGAAAAGAGCACGGGGTCACATAGCTGGGTCTACATCTGGTCCTGTCCACTGTGGGGTGTGTGACTTTGGGTAGGTCACTTAAATGCTGAGCTTTAGTGTATAATAATAGCCCAGTGGGAAACCCGGAAGAGGAAGCAATATATACAACATAACACACTGTACGTATGTATAGTGGGACTGTTGCCACAGTCACAAGAAGGCCACCTCCATCCGCATGGTGTCTAGAAGGGACCTGTCCATTCTGCAGTGCCCAGAGTTGAGAATCGTCTAAGGGAGAGAATTGGAAATCATTCAAAGTGGCACAGCCCCTCCTGTCCTCTGCCTCCCATGCTCTTTGTTTGCCCTGCCTAATATGGAGACCATTTTCTTCAGTATGAGAGATACAAGCCAGCTTCCATCCTGACGTAGGCTCCCCTTTCACTGTTCCTCTGTGAACATTACCGTCCCTTTCCCCAAATTGTTACTCTGTCCTCTTGTTTTTTTCTTAATTTGAATGTAGCCGACAATGCTTGATTTTTTTGACTCTGGCATTTTGAGCCTCTGTTAACTGCACCCTTCTTAGATCCTTTTTAAAGTTCATCCCCAGTTTTGTTTTTATTTCTCTGTCTCCTAAAATGTAAGTTTGAGCTTTCCAGAGAACCCCCATTATATAGAAGCGCATCAGTATTTCCATAGGTAATGCTCTATCTCTTGGGTGCTCTATTCTTGATTGTCTACAGAGAATTTCTCATTAGGCACAACCTTCTTTCCTGAATAACCCCTCTAAGTTTTTAGCAATAGTCTCATAGCTAAGGTTTTGGAACTTGCTGTCCTAAAACTCAGGAGCAGATACCTTTCTATGCCCATAATCCCTTTCCCTTACTATTGCAAATTCCAAGATGCTACGGTTCTATTCTCTTTCTTATGTTAGCCTACAGTTGCCTTTAAACCAAGACCTTTACTATTTTAAACAGCATCAACCTTTCTTACCTTTCCGGTCAGAGGAACTTCCTTTGTTGTCTGCATCATTATGAATACAGATATAGTGTAATCAGTGAACCAAAACTAGACAGACACTACAGATAGCATTTTATGGACCACTTGCTTGCTCTTAGCCCTTCAGCTCTTTCATTTTTGCTCCATATGGAGAGTGGGAGAGGGTCCCTGGCACAGCAGCAACGCCAGGAACCCTGGAAGTTCTCAGACTATTTGTGGGCTGTGCTCTCAGGTTGCAGCTTTCCTAGGTGAACTGTGGGAGGTGCATGAAGAAGAATTTGGTGCATCTCCTTCACCTCTTTTGTATCCAACCAGCTTTTCTCAAAAAAGACCTTTCTTTTGAGAATTCAGATGTTTCTGTATTTATTATGTTGTTGTTCTTGCTGCTCTTCGGCTAAGTTTTTAGATGGAGTGGTCTACAGAGAAAATACAACCTTTGTAGGTTTGATTTTGTCTCACCGTCTCAGAGACTTTTTGGCTTTATGAATGTAAAGCTTCTGACCCACGCTCTACGTGTAATTAGAGTCCCCCAAGACTATGTGACTTGTTGGAGTCATCAGATAAATCCACACATCAAACTTCTTGCCGCGGTCTGGCTAGCAACAGCAGGACTCCCAGGGGTGGAACAGGCTTCTGATGGTACTTCCTTACAGAACTACCAGGATCTTGACTCCGCCTTATGTGCCCAGAAGTCTGAATGGGACTGCTTGGCTCACAGGGGGTGCTCAATAAGTGTGCAGAATAGATCAGGATGATGTATGGGAGAACAAGGACCAGAAGCGACCACAGAAGGCTCTCGGGGATACTGGAGTGAGTCACTCTCATCTCTCACCTGCATATCTAGAGGAGGCTCCCCACTGGTCTCCCCAATTCAGCTTAGCCAATCTCTAGTACATTCTTTACATAAAACCGGAGTGACCTTTTAAAATCATAATGTCCTCCTTTAAACCTTTCGGTTATCTTCCACTGCCATTAGGATAAAGGTCAGAATCCTTAATTAATACCGCCTCCATGCCCCTTCACTACACTACACACGTCCTTTGCCTTAACTCTCTCTTCTTCATCTTGAGCCAATCATAACTGGCCTTTTTCTCTCTTTTTCAGGGTCATTATACATACTGTTTCTTCTGGCTGCCTAATACCTACTTTTCCTTTGGGTCTCAGCTTAATTATAGTATTTTTAGGAATCCTTTCTTCATAGAGCTTACATCTCCATCATAAATCATTGTCATAATACCATCTACCGTTCCTTTATGGCTTTAAATACCTCTGTAATGAAATATTGCTTCATTTAATGTCCATCTACTCTGTTAGACTATACAATCTATGAGAGCAATGACTGTCTTTCATGTTAGCTGCTGTATACTTAATACTTGACATGTAGTGGACACAGTAATTATTTGTTTTCAGATGAATAAATGAGTGAGTTATTGAATGAGTGTTCACTGAGAGGTAGCCCAGATGGAACCCCTTAGATAGCAACCTTTGGCCGATCCAGCTGCCCACCAAAGGGCACTTTGCACAACTTTGCACAGCTTTCCTTTTCTACTTCATTAAGAACACTCACTT